GTCCACACAACAGATCCACTTCCTGGACACTACGGTACTAATAAGCGATGGTCACATAAACACCACCCTATACCGGAAACCTACTGACCGCTATACTTACCTACATGCCTCCAGCTTTAATCCAGACCACACTACACGATCCATTGTCTACAGCCAAGCTCTGCGATACAACCGCATTTGCTCCAACCCCGCAGACAGAGACAAACACCTACAAGATCCCTATCAAGCATCCTTACAACTACAATACCCACCTGCTGAAGTGAAGAAACACATGGACAGAGCCAGAAGAGTACCCAGAAGTTACCTACTACAGGACAGGCCCAACAAAGAAAATAACAGATCGCCACTAGCCATCACCTTCAGCCCCCAACTAAAACCTCTCCAATGCATCATCAAAGATCTACAACCTATCCTGAAGGACGACCCATCACTCTCACAGATCTTGGGAGACAGGCCAGTCCTTCCTTACAGACAGCCCCCCAACCTGAAGCAAATACTCACCAGCAACCACACACCACACAACAAAAACACTAACCCAGGAACCTATCCTTGCAACAAAGCCCGTTGCCAATTGTGTCCACATATCTATTCAGGGGACACCATCATAGGGCCTAATCACATCAGCTACACTATAAGAGGCTCGTTCACCTGCGCATCTACCAATGTGATATATGCCATCATGTGCCACTCTTGTTACTGTGTGTATGGTAACATCCATTGTTTCATGTTCTCTGTGTATATAAGATCTCCCCACTGTATTTTCCACTGTATGCATCCGATGAAGTGAGCTGTAGCTCACGAAAGCTTATGCTCAAATAAATTTGTTAGTCTTTAAGGTGGCACAAGTACTCCTTTTCTTTTTGCATAATATCTCTGTGAAACTCGGCACTATTCTAGGTGAAGCTAATAGCCAGAGCTCAGGAATGCGGATAAAATAAATAAAGGTGAAGAGAAAAGATAAGTTTCAGAGAAGACTAAGGCCCCATGGTGGAAGAAAAAAGCGAGAAGTAAAAAAGGGACCCTTTGTGGGCCCCTAATGGTCCCGGGCCCACTTCCATGGAACCCTCCTTTGCACAGCTGTAGGAGAGAGACCTACACTTTGGGCAGGATGCACTCAATACAGCTGCACCTCCTCTCTGCTGATGCCTCTGTTGGTTCATGATGTATGGCAGCAACTATGCCAAAACTGGCCCAGCAGCAGCATCCAAGCGGTGTCAGTAATAAGTGGGTAAGCCCTGTGGCCTGAAGCCTTAGAGGGAAGGGAGCTCGTCATTGTCACCTGTTTTTGAAATGGGAGAAAAGCGGCCCAGAGCTGCTTAAGAACGGCAGATAGGCAGGGGCTCCACTGGGGATGGAGTTCTCTGCCAGCTTCTGCGAGAGAGCAAGGGGAACTGACTAAATGGGTCTGACTTATTTGCATGTTAGTTATGTGACGGATTGGGGGCATTTTGGCTAAAAAACAGTTAAATTTTGAGTTTGGGGGCAACAAAATGCTTTTGACCTTGGCAGGAAATACGAGGACAAGACATCGACATCAAATGCAACTGGGGCCACTCTGACTGGACTGCTGTCAGGCACAGTTTGGTGAGGGTGCCAGAAGACAGCAGGGGAGGGACAGCTGTGGGAAGTGCCTCTCTGATGGTGAGGACTCTGTTAAGGATCCATCAGTGCCCCGATGCCTCTCTAAAGAGCTGAACGGAGACAGAGGATGATGCAGACTGGCAGTGGCAGCTTTGAAGCGACAGGCAGCACAAAATAGTTGTAGTGGCGGGCAGCAGCTCTGAGGTGATAGCTGACCCAGTGCAGCAAAGGCAAATTGGAGGCAATGGATGGAGCAGAACAGCAGGGGCTGGGATAGATCTGGGGCAGCTTGGCCTGAAGGCACAGACAGAGCAGCAGCCTAAGGATTATGGCCACCCTACCCAGCAGTTAAAGCTGAAATCATCTCAGCTGGGCCAGGTGGTAGAGCCTTCAGAGCAGCCTGGGCCTGCCAGGATCTTTGAACTTTTCCTGTTCAGGACAGCTAACTGAGAGTGGACAGCTGGGAAGGCACACCAACCAGACAAATCGCCAGGAGCACTGAGGTTGATTGTTATGGGCCCCTGGGAGGAGGGAGTCTTACCTCAGATAATTTCTCAATTTATTAATTGCTAGTTTTCCCAAGTTTATTCTGTTATCATCCCCCACCCCCTGGTGCCTCCTTTAATATAGTTTTCTTTATTTTAAACCCCAGACTCAATGCTTGCAAGTGGGGAAGTATTGCTCATCAGGGTGCCCTTGGGACTTGATATAGTTTCCCAGGATTCTGGATGCGAGTTCCAGCTGGTGTTAGTTAAGTCTTTACAGAAACCCCTAGAAAATGGAACTCAGCCCTTTTTGCTGCCGTCAGCACCTGGTACAGTCAGGTGTTTCACCTTTTAACAAACCATAGAAAGTTGATATTTTATTTCTCACTGACTAAGCCTTAATCATCATGAACGGAAGACCAGGATCCTTATCTCTTGACAACTAGACCTCCTGAGAGACCAAAGGAACAGAAATTAAACCTTTTATTCCTGGTTTAGAGTCTCCTTACAAATGTATCATCATCTGATCTCCCACTGCCAGCTACCACAGGGATTGAGAACTCCAAGCCCCCACACCACACCCCATGCTGGGCCTCCATAGTCCCAGTATTGTTCCATTCTCTTGGCCATTTGACAGTGGCCATCAAGGGGATACATCTGGGTGCTCCAAAAGACATCTCAACAAAACCCCTATCACACACACCACATCCTTTCCAACCCACCCCACACTCACTATCTCACACTGAATATCCTCCCACCTTACGGTGCCAACCCTCTCAAAACAAGAAAAAAAATCCTCCTAATTTCTATAGTCATTAGGTCTTTCTCCCCATAACCACACTGTCACTGTGGCCAAATGGAGAGGAACATCAAGACAACCACCCACATGCCGCATGCTATCCACATTTCTGATGGCACCATCACCTATAGCCATAATCCCTGCCACAGAAGCTAGCCCATAAATTCCATCCTACAGGCATCTCATTTTAATGATTTCTTACCCTGCTGGCCTTTCGTCCCACCATTGGAAACCCTCTCAATCACAACAAACTACTCCCAGATCTAAATCTCTCAACAAGAAGAATACACCATAAAAAAACAACAACCCACAAACAGGCCACCACCCAGAAGGTCTGAAGTTTGCTCCCAGCCCTCTGCTGAGTTCCTGGTGGCTGAGAAGAGGCCCCTGTTGCCCTTCAGTAGCAGTCTGCTCAAATGGGACATCAAAACCAAAACTCCCTCCTTAGCAGTGGTCCATCCCGTTAAAATGGGATGATGCTGGACTATAAGGTGGATAGAAAGCTGGCTAGATCATCGGGCTCAACGGGTAGTGATCAATGGCTCCATGTCTAATTGGCAGCCAGTATCAAGCAGAATGCCCCAAGAGTTAGTCCTGGGACCGGTTTTGTTCAATAGCTTCATTAATGATCTGGAGGATGGTGTGGATTGCAGCCTCAGCAAGTTTGCAGATGACACTAAACTGGGAGGAGTGGTAGATACGCTGGAGGGTAGGAATAGGATAGAGGGACCTAGACAAATTAGAGGATTGGGCCAAAAGAAATCTGATGAGGTTCAACAAGGACAAGTGCAGAGTCCTGCACTTAGGATGGAAGAATCCCATGCACCGCTACAGACTAGGGACCGAATGGCTAGGCAGCAGTTCTGCAGGAAAGGACCTAGGGGTTACGGTGGATGAGAAGCTGGATATGAGTCAACAGTGTGCCCTTGTTGCCAGGAAGGCTAACGGCGTGCCTTGTTGCCAGGAAGGCTAATGGCATTTTGGGCTGTATAAGTAGGAGCATTACCAGCAGATAGAGGGACGTGATCATTCCCCTCTATTCAGCATTCGTGAGACCTCATCTGGAGTACTGTGTCCCCTTTTGGGCCCCACATTACAAGAAGGATGTGGAAAAATTGGAAAGCGTCCAGCGGAGGGCAACAAAAATGATTAGGGGACTGGAACACATGACGTATGAGGAGAGGCTGAGGGAACTGGGATTGTTTAGTCTGCGGAAGAGAAGAATGAGGGGGGATTTGATAGCTGCTTTCAACTACCTGAAAGGGGGTTCCAAAGAGGATGAATCTAGACTGTTCTCAGTGGTAGCAGATGACAGAGCGAGGAGTAATGGTCTCAAGTTGCCGTGGGGGAGGTTTAGGTTGGATATTAGGAAAAACTTTTTCACTAGGAGGATGGTGAAGCACTGGAATGGGTCACCTAGGGAGGTGGTGGAATCTCCTTCCTTAGATATTTTTAAGGTCAGGCTTGACAAAGCCCTGGCTGGGATGATTTAGTTGTGGATTGGTCCTGCTTCGAGCAGGGGGTTGGACTAAATGACCTTCTGAGGTCCCTTCCAACCCTGATATTCTATGATTCTATGATGTATAGAATTTTGCACTGTATCTGTTTGCATGCTGTCATGTTTTAGCCCTGGGCAGATGAGTTCAAGCCATGAAATTCAGATCTGAAAGTTTAATGTGAACATCTCAAAGTTTATGGATGTTTGTACTATGGTTTTTCATCCTGTTTATGATAAAGGTCATTTGCAGGGTAAGACGACAAAACTCCCTCCAGCCCCAAATCTGGAGGTGTTTGGTCAGTGTCATCTCTAATGTATGAGTAATATAATTTCTCCTCCGCACAGAGGTGGGTAGAAATAGCTTTGCTGCTTCCTTTATGGAAAAGTCCTGTAAAATGTAAAAGATGTCTAAATCGAGAGGGTTTGGTACAAACAGCGGATTTTATTAAAGTTACATTAAATATCCTCTAGAATTTCACAGAGCATGATCTTCCGCTTATGTCTCTCTAAAACCCTGGCACCAACAGGCTACAACAATGTCTGCCTGTAGGCATTTTCAAAAACCATCCCACAAATTTCTATAGCAAAAATATATATATTTTCCCTGTTAAAGTCGACAGGACGGTTTAACACAAACCTGTAGCAAAGCAACCACGTGCTGCTCCGTGTGCTATGTAGGACTTTTCCGTGGGGCCTGCAGTTTGAAAATCACGTCGCTCAGTACCCTCCTGCCTGCCTTCCAAACTCAGGAGCTTCGACACGAAGCCTGGGCGGGGGAGGACGTGGGGAGCTGGGGCGGCTCAGCCCCACTGTTGCCGGGGCCCGTGGCTCCCGCACCGCCGAGTCACGAACTCTGCCGGCACTCAGCCTAGGGGAGGGGTTTCTTGGCCCCGGGAGCTCGTTTGCATGCGAGGAGGTGCGGCGGCCGCAGCAGCGTGGTGCCAGCCGCTGGTCACTGATGATGTGGATGTGCTGAGGAGCTGAGGCTCCCTCTGTTCCTGTGCATGGGAGGTAGAGGGCTGCCTGCCTGCCTGGAGCTCTGCCTCTCTCCTAGCGGCACAAAGCGGCAGCTGCTGGCCATTTCCTCGCAGCTTCCCTGCTGCACCGGGCAGCCCGGGCTGGGACGCGCGGAGGCGACTGGGCGCCTCGCACCGCAGCAGCAGGTGAGCCACCCCCCCGCCGCGGGAGCCGCTGCGCTTTCGGGGCTCGCTGGGGCAGCGCAGTGGCGCGGTCCCGGGCAGCGCTGGAGGGCGGGGGGGGAGAAGGTGGGTGGCGGCGGGAGGGCTGGGGCCGCTCTGCCCGGGCAAGGAGCCGGACTCCGGAGCTTCTCGTGCGCTGGGGAACCCCGACTAGGGCTGGGGCAGGAACTGGAGTAGGAGGCGCAGGCAGGGAAGGCGCTTGGGGCAGGAAGCCAAGGCAGGGCAAGGGGGCCGAAGCAAGGACAGGACGCAGCCGTGGCGTGGAGGCAGCCCAGAGCAACCTCACTGGAGGGAGAATTCGATTCGATTTCTTGGCAACCCAAAAGGCTATTTTTATTCAAGATAAGGGCACAAAGTGGTATGGTATAAACAGAAAGGGGCAGGCAGCTCTCTTTATTTTCATTCTGTGTAGGAATGATCACGCACAAGACACTTGTGGCTGCGGTCTGCTACCCATCAGTTCACACGGACCTATAATTAAATACATCGGCCACACTTCCCCTCGGTGTATGGTAGATTTATATCTCAAACTCCCATTAATGGGAGTTGTAGTCATAGGTCCCAAATACTTCAAAGGAAGGAGATTACACTTCTAACAGCTCTCTGCAGTGGATATTCTGCACCACCTGGAAATAGAACCCCCCCTAGAAATCATAGAATCTGACAACACTGATAATGGCATCAACAACAGTCAAAAGTTTATACCTACAATTTCTGGGCAAAAAACACTTAAGGAATAATTGTAACCTATCGCTATTCGCAACCGTATGTGGTCTTCTTTAGCTCCAACTACTTAGGAGTTATGCAGTGAAATTTAGGAAGTGTGTATATAGATGAGTGCATATAATATACTGGAACATCTTAGAAAATGTCTTTTACTGCTTGTAAATAGTTACGTGCATCGTAAGTTGTGTGTGAAGGCAGGAATAACAATTGCATGTGCATTGCTTTCCCCCCTTTTAAATATAGTTCTTTTACCCAGCAAAGGAGGTTAAGCAGGATTAACTAAAGAATGGTTATTGTCAGTGCATACTTTTAAAAAAATCCCATTTGGTAGCTGGATGGCCTAGGTTTGAAGGAACCATGATGAATAACAATAGCATCAAGACAGGTTTCAGAGTAGCAGCCGTGTTAGTCTGTATCCGCAAAAAGAAAAGGAGTATCTGTGGCACCTTAGAGAATAACAAATTTATTTGAGCATAAGCTTTCGTGAGCTACAGCTCACTTCATCTGATGCATCCGATGAAGTGAGCTGTAGCTCACGAAAGCTTATGCTCAGATAAATTCGTTAGTCTCTAAGGTGCCACAGATACTCTTTTTCTAATAGCATCAAGAGACTTTGGTTGGTGATTATCTTAGCTACTCATTTATTTCACCATTTGCAAGATGAATTTTGAAAGGTAACAAAATGTAACTTTTAAAAGACTAGGCTTTTACTTGTAGTTTGGATACTCTGATTAAAAGTATCCTGAGTTCTGGTGCTTTCCATTAAATTAGCAAATATCACAATTATAATTTCATTTATAGAAATAATGAGTCTACTATTCCATGTAAGCAGGGATAATGATTACTCTGAGCATGAAGTGTGAATGTTTTCATATGATCCCAGAGATTGCCAAATGAAAAATACCACAAAAGTTTTCATTTATTTGGTACAGAGATCTGTTTGTATTTTTCTGAGTATGGCCTCAGTCACTGGGGGGAGTTAGGCTAAAAGTGTGATAGAATAAACCTTCTAGCTAAAAAAAGCAAGTTGTACTGGACATACGCCTTCAGGGCAGCTTTCTCTTTTTAGTAGGTTTTGTTGGCTGACATCTTTACTAAAATACTATGAACTAGTTGATGTAGTGGATTGGGACACAGCAGAGTGTACTCACATCATAGCCCTAATTTGTCTGCATTACAAATCCGCCCTATAGTTTGGCACTATAAGCAATCTTGAAAGAAGCCCAAGAACAAAATAGCCGTTTTCTGGACTGAAGCGTACTTGGCAGAGCTGGACACGGGGAAGCTTGCACGCTGCATGCCTGCACAAAACCCCTTCCAAAGCCTGTGTTTTATGTCCCTTAGCTTTATGAGCAATACATTTGGTCCCCAGAAAAGAATGCAGCACGTAGCTCAATATTCTAATAATTATTATTACATTTTAAATGCAAGAGTCAATCTTATGATTACAAAGAAGAAAAACAAGGAACTATCTGACACGGTTTCCTTGCTTTCCTGATGTGGCTTGACAATATGTCAATCATGTGGTATTTTCTCCAACTTCTCTGGTACATTACTTTAGTAGAATAATGAATGTGCAAATACAGTCACTATCTTCTCTCTTCCTCACAATGATCTCTTTGTATTGAGCAACATGTTTTTGCATAGATCAGCTATCAGATCTGCAGAGTATCATACACAGTGAAATGACTTCCTTGTCCTTTCTAAAAGTATGTGCATGCACATATGTGTGAATAAATCCACCACCCTTTCCTTTTTCAAATCCCTCCCCAAGACTCCCTTCTACTAGGAGGCCTATAGAAACTGGCAACTAATAATGACTAAATACAAGGAAAGTGGGGTAATTGCCACAACCATTTTTTAATTTGAACAGAAGTATGTCTTCTCCCTCTCCCTCATCCTTTGTTCTTTCTTTGATTGTGAACACTTTGGGGAAGGGATTGCATCTTATTATATGTTTGGAAAGCACCTAGCATATTGTGTGTGCCACCATAATCCAAATAACAACAACAGGAGATCTCTTGTCAGCAGTGTGGGCCAAATTTTGCTGTGCTACAACTTTGCAAGCCTGTTGCTGTCAATGGGGTTGTATGGGTGTACTGACAAAGAATCTGCAGTCACATTATGTTAGAAGTCAGTAAAGTTTTGAAAGTACAGCACATCTGTTCAAACCTCTGTAATATTTGTAACAAATTGCCTGAATTTCCAATTAATGTCTGTCAGTGTGCCCACAGTCTTGAGTGGGCATGTGCATTTGCCCATGCTGACTGAGTGACTAATGTACGTCAAACAGACCTGCAGATCTTTCAGGTGCATGTTTAGAAACTGGTTGGAAGGGTGGCCCTTTGCAGTGTTTAAGCATGTGTGCTTTTAGATTTCATGGCTTATTTCAAGACTCAGGCAGTGTTGTTTTTTTTTAAAAAAAAAAATAGTTTCCCTTCTTTATTTTTTCCATGTGTTGCCTGCTATATGCAACTGGACTACCCCTTCTGGGACAGCACATTGCATTCCCATGTTAGCCGACTCAGAATGTGGCAATGTTTAGTACTTTGGAAATTCAATTTAATTCTTGTTGCTGAGCTTTCGATTTTTAAATCAGAAAGAAAAAACTCCTCTATCCCTAGTGCTGAGAGATGGTATCGTGACACCTTCCATTCTTCTGTTAATTACATTAAGAGCCGAGTCTGTATCTTTGTTCTTGCATAGACTTGCATTGCATAGTCTCCTTTTTAAGGCCAATCTTTTACATTTCTGTTCAAATACTTTGGCTATATTAAACTCTGAACTAAAAGGCTCCTGGTTACAAGATCGTAGTGTAGTGTCTATCGTACCTCATTGCATATATCAGAGATTATATAGGGAATTATACAGAAATACCTAGTTTTCATCTTTTAGGTAACTGCAATTCCATATGTCTAACCTGCTCTTGTCCTAATTCTGTTATCTATAAATCTGCACTTTGTGTGATGGACAAACTGGAACATTCTTTCATGATGCCTTCCAAAAAGAGAACAGACAATTTGGAATCCATCTCAGACTACTTTTCCTTCTACTAATTGCCTCGTCTGTGCTGATGCTCTGACATGCATACATTCTTCTGCTAGTGGAAATGCTATCTAATACTGGGACAATCCAGAAGAATTGACAAGTAGTGAAGTACGGGAATCCAGTTTTCATGCTCTAAAGAACAGAAGAGTCAGCCAGCACAACCACCTGTTCTATTGATCAGAAGCACTAAAATTAGGACCCTGTTAAGTAGAGGAGGCGGAACAGAATCTTGTCTGCCGTCAACTCCCAAAGCTACTACAAGGTGTGGGACAGCCCTAATGCGTGTCCAGTATCCTGCCTCAAACAGTGTCAAAAAAAAGAAGTACCAGCTTCATTCAAGGAAGGTGCAAGAAACCCCATCGTGGATAATTATGGAATTATTGGAAGTTTCTCCCTAACCCCATTTAATGACCAGTTGGCTTGTGCTTTGAATTAGGAGGGTTTATATGCTCATTTGTAAACTGTTTGGTGTGTGATACTTCTTGAACAAACCAGGAAGCCCACAGTGTTCTCTGCAGTGACAAGTGAAGTGTAGGAACATGCTGCTCATTAAGGGCATTTTCAGATTCCAAAAGTAAGTTCTCAACAGAGATGTTATTTGTACAGCAAGTAACAGAACACATATCTGTAAAAATGTATCAACAGCTTGTTGAGGCTTATCTTTAGTATCTATGGGGTTGATTTTTAATGAGGTCCTCTCGCGTCAACCAGTTCCTGTATTGAATGGCAAAAATCCTTCCCTTGGCACAGATCCACAGTTCTATGTGGAGTCTGTGGAGATTTCCATGATACTGAGGCCTACTAGCATTCAGAGAAATTCATTTAGTCACTCTTCCCATCTGCTCCATTTCTCTCTCCCTCTGCTCCTCTGCATATTGCTTCCCTGCTGCCTGGCCCTCCTCCTGCCTCTGCTCATGCTGGCTTGCTGCCCTTGCTTCCTCTCTTCCTGTCCCCTGCCCCTGTGGAGTACCTTCTTCAGAAAGCTCCTGTAATTAAGTGTTGAGATCAAGGGTTCACAAACTTAAGTGCCTGTAAAACATCTGGAAAAGAGGAGTATCAAGCGGTATTGCCAATCCTATGTGTTCAAAAACCATGAGTCAGGCCACCCCCAGAGGCCATGAGGTTTTTTAAAATACATTTTGAATTTTCCTTCTGTTTTATTTATTATTATTTTTGAGTGGTTAGGATTC